AGTTCACCCATCCTTCGATTGGGTACACTAGTTTTGGCCCATGCTGAGAAAGTGAAGGATAAACATGGATAAACTTTGCTAGGACTGTTTCTGCTACACGGACAACTGCATTGGTGCTGCAGTGGCTGCTGAGTTGCTCACAGGAAAGAGAGGTGTGCTGCGCTTCAGAATATTATGAATTCAATGCTGAAGATAAATCTCATGAAAAGGTTCTATGTGCAAAAGCATGGAGGAGTAGCTGTGAAATGCCATTTTAAGAAACAAACGCGTACACGTTGTGTTAATACTGTATTTATTCTGCTTTGTTAGAGCTGGCACCATCACCTTCTATTTTCTGTCACCATCGTGTTTCCATTTAGATGCAACATCAGCTGTTGTTATTTCAAGCAAAAATTCTGAGATTTTTATTTATTTATATTATTTTATATTGTTTTGCTTGGTGGGTATTTCATGATCCCGTCACCTGATCCTGAACACAAGGCAGTATGAAATGATCCATACGCAAGCACCCTAGCCTAATGCTGCTGTGGGTGGTCCGCAAACTTCTGGGCAACTTAGGACATGCTGAGTGCGTATTATGCAGGGCAGGTTCTTGGGTTTGGAGGGCCCCTCCTTCCATGGGTCTACCTCCTCCTGGCCATTGGCAGCAGCCGGCCTGCGCCTCACCTTCTTTCTCGGCACTGCTGCCTCCTGCTTGGCCGAGAGGCAGTGAGCAAGCCGGCAGGGGCCTCTGGCGTTCCATCTTCTCACCACCGCTCTTGTCTGAGCCAGAGCAAGAGGCAGGAGGACAGACAGGTTACAGGGGTGATGAGGAAGAGCCACTCCTGGGCAAGTCATGCCAGTGGGCCCCTGGTGGGCTGTGAGCCCTTGGCACATGCCCACACATGCCTGCCCCTGACACCAGCCTTGATGAGATGAAGAAGACCTCAAAGAAAATGACTGAAAACGCACACACCTCATCTAATAGCCATCAGTGTTAGGGCAAATCCTTGTATCACTTAGCTGGAACATATCAGTGGGAAATGTGGGGTTGGGCAGGAGAACTTACATAGAAACAGAGTGAGTCAGAAGGGTCTTCCTGGGGCATCTAGTCTGACCCCTGGCTCTAGCCGGCTCTGCTCATGACATGCCTACCATGTGCATGTCTAGCCTGTCCTTGAACACCGTCATGAATGGGGCTTCAACCACCTCCTGTGGAAGAAGCCAATTCCATACCCTTGGGGTCCTAACTGTCAGGAAGTACTTCCTGGCATCCAAAGTGAACTCAGCTTTGGTTCCCTCAGCTTGGCTCTGTTGGAGTGCGACCTGCCTTCCTCTGCAGGGGAAAACAGGTCTCTACCCACCTCCATGTGACACCCCCGCATGTACCTGTATGCCGCCAACAGATCCCCTTGGATCCTCTTCTTCTACAGGCTGAAAAGACCCAGTTCCCTCAGTCCCACCTCATACAGCTTTCCCTGCAATCCGACCACCATCCCTGTGGCCCTACGCTGCGCTGACTCTAGCCCGGCTATATCCTTCCTGTAATGCGGGGCCCAGAACTGAACACAATACTCCAGTTGCAGACGCACCAGAGTCGTATAGAGTGGCAGTAATACCTCTCTCGATCATCTTAAAAGGACTCTACATTTCACTGCAGCTTGCCCAGCCAAGTGCTCTCTAGATATGTTCATCTAAAAACCTCATCCCTGTGATTAGCATTCCAGGGCACCTGGACAGCACCAGGCTAAGGAAAGACATTTCAGTGGATGTTGGTGATGGGATGTTGGGAAACCCTGGAACTGGAGACTTAACATTGGGCAATCAGAGGCATGCCGTTTAGGAGCAGGTCTTCAAGCTGAGAATAGGAAGGAGGGCTGTGCATCCGATAGGAAATTCACTGCCTGTGTAAACTTGGAAAAGGTCAAAATAATCTTTCATTATCCACAAAGTAAAGCTTCATTCCTGAAGTTGCTGTAACATTAGCATTTACCAGGAACTGGGTACCTCTAGGCATTTCTTAAGAAGTTCAGGCAAACCCACCCGGTAGGGGCAATAAATTTTTCCCTACTAATGGATGTTTGGCAGCTTTAGATGAAATGAATTTCACAGACCTGGAAGGAGCCTGCCTCAACTCCACTGCATTAAGACAGAGTCCAGGGCATGGTCAGAAGACACATAAAGCAGCAACTGTGGTGAAGCTAAGTGGGTTTGGTCAGCACATAGAGGGACGCCATCCAGAAAACACATAGGCATTGCTTTGGGCTCCATCAAGGAACTGTAGGGTGGAAATGAGAACAGCGTGTGTGTGTGAGAGAGAGTGCTCCAGCTCAAGCAGGGGATGTGTGAGTGCAAGACCCATGCTCCAGTTTGCTTTCAACAAGCAAAGCAACACCATGCTATGGTGGAATGCATTGCATTTCAATCTGTTTATAGGTATTACTTCAAACTTGCATCTGTACAGAGGGGGCTGGCTCCAGACTCAGTCATGCCTAGACTATGGTGGCAGGGCAAATTCGTCATGATTGATTGTTGCTACGCATTTACCTGTTTCCTGTTAACAAGAGCAGTGACAAGAGTGAGCAGAAGGAACAGTATTCCTTAAGGCAGGTGTGGGCTGATGGAAGATCTCCAGATGTTTGGACTTCAACTCCCAGAAGCTCCTAGTAGCAGGGCCAGTGGTCAGGAATGCCAGGAACTAGTCTAAAGCACCGGGAGATTTACTTCTTGTCCAGCCCTGTCTGCGTGCTTTGTCTTCTTCCTGAGGGAGAGAGTAAATAGGCGATGACGATACCAGCGAGGAAAAGGTTGGCCCACTCACAGAAGACATCTTCTCCTGGAGCTACCGCTGCTGGAGCTGTCCAGCACTGGCTCGCTCTTTCTCAGAGAGGAGGCGTCTCTTGAAGTGAAAACTCTGCATGGGGAATGGCTCTTGTCTCTACTGCACAGGCGTAAAAACAAGGCAAGGCTACAGCTCACCTTACCAAACACAAAGGGATATAGGTCCGAGCAAACATGCAGCAGCTTTGGTACCACCGTGCAGTGGGCAAGCTGCTGTTGTGAAACGTGTGGCGCAGTTACACTTACGTTCCTGATAAATCTTGAGCTAAAAAGGGCTGGAGGAAGCCCTCTTTGCTTTTCAGGGAGAAGAGTCTGGGGTAATGTGGAAGAAATGATGCAGCAGGAGAACAGAGAGTGAGCAGAGTCTTTCGTAGTCCGGAATAATGGGGCGAGGAAGTGTGTGACTCAGGAAATGATTCCTGTTTCAAAAATAGGGGCATTACCTGTGTGGCAATCGCTCTTTCTTCTTTCTGTTTCTCCAGGGCAACTGGTATGCTGATCCCGGAGACAGTCTATAACCATCATAAGTAGAGGCTGCTATCTGTGATAATTGCAAATATTTATGCGCTATTAAATGGTACTCCTGTGATCTAGGCATAAATAGATGGACACCAAAAATGTACTTTCAGAGCCCTTGCAGGTGCAAAGATACTTCAGACTTGGAAGGATAAGCACTCACCACCTTCAGCAATCCATTTCATCTGGATGCTTTAGATACATGGTCTGTTTGCATTAATGCATTTATTTGAAGCTGATATCAATGTGGGATCATTCCTCCCTTTTTAAACTAATGGTGTTGTGAACAGATAAGCACATGTTTCTATGTCATGTTCTTTTTATTTTATTTATTTATTTATTTATTTTGCTTTCTTCTTCTGTTGCTGGTTTTCCCTCTTTCTCCTTTTCGTCTCTAATTGATATGTTTAGATGAGCATTAGCTCTCAATAAGGCCAATCTATGCCGGTATTCTTTTTACATTGCCTTACCATGGTTATCTCCACACACCGTTCAACAAAGCCTGAGATCATACAAAATCTTTGTTTCTTACCTAAGTGGGACTCTGAAATAAAACAGAACTCTAGATAGCAGTCCCTTAGCATATATGAAAGGGGAGTGTGGGGGAGGCCAGATGGTAAATTTCTCACAAGTTGGCATTACAAGTGTTTCTGTTTTAGGTCTTTCTTTAATGTTTTAAATAGCGGAAGCATAGCAAATGTGGGAAGATGTTTTTCCCTAATAATAGTAATTTTTAGTGCGGGTGGGGGTGTAAATATGATGAAAATGAGCAGAAAATCAGCCAAAACAGTAGGCACAGATAAGTATGTACCACCATTATTCCTCTCTCTCCACAGGCCAGTTAAATATTTCATTGAGCTTTGGTGCAGTATAATGAAGAATAACCTTCCTATAACAGCCCTATTTCAGGCTACAATCTGATATACATTTCTCCGAGATGAAACTCCACTGAATTCATTGGGATTTACTTCTGCTTAGACATGCATAGGACTGCACTGCTAATGGAGCTGATTTTATTATTGATGTGGGTACTATACAAAAGTCAGTTTTATTATTATCATTAATGGTAATAGTCTTTTTTGCGGTGGGGTGGGGAGAAGCGGTGTGTTCTTGCTTCCTGCTGCTGCAGGTGGTTGCTTTGATTTGTGCTGGGCCACTTCGCATTTTCAGCTTGTCCCTAGCCCTGGAGTAATTGGCACTGCAGAAACAGTTTCTATTTCAATAGAATTGGCCTGCAGTTAACGGCTTCGCTTGTTGCGAAAGGCTGCAAAATTACTGAGCTGGACAGAGCGAGGGGACCGATTCTGGGCCACTCCAGGAACGTGGGAAACAAAAATGCCCCCCAACATCCTTCTTCCCGCCCCGCTCTCAACACCGCAAATCAAACCACGGCCGAGGGGAGAGAGGGGGCCACCCTCTGACAGAACGGACGAAGGCGATTGGCGCAGAGTAGCTTCCATCCATCCTCCACTTACACCAATCAGAGTGCTCGTTCTCAGAGAAGCGGTGTTTATGGCAAGGCTTTGGGGCTGCCCATGGTAACCGCCAATCCGACCCATGGGAGGAGATGAAAGGGTAGTGATTATTGGTCGTCACGGGAATGCGTAAATGCAACGTTTTCCATGATTGGTTAGTAGGCTTTCGCTCTCCCGGGCTGTGGCTGACAGTCGGCCCGGGTGGGAATGGGGCCTGTTGAGAGCTTTCTGTATCCATGCTGCGGGTGCGAGGCAGCGCATTCCTGTGCTTTGGGCTTTCCAGCGGGGGCTCTCTCTCCTCTCCGCTCCTGTAGCTCTGCTACATTATTCCAAATCTGAAAAGCTCCTTTAACTTGCAAACTGTTTTAATCTTGCTCAGTTCCCTTCTTTCTCATACGCACCCCAACAACGCCCTGTTGAGGTAGGCTGCCCATCTTCCTCCCCTTTCACCGCAAGCGCCAGGCAGAGTTGCCTTGTCACGGAGAGCTGCGGGACAGGGCGGAACTGAGCTGGTGCAGCGTTGCCCCATCGGAGCATCTCCCTCTTGGGTGAAGTGGCGTTTGTGATGTGCTTGTATGGGCATAATCCTGTGCACGTTTAGCCAAAAAAAAGCCCTGCCTTTTTCTGTCTGAATATGCATGGGAGTACACCCTGCACTGCTTTAAGAGGCTGCCTTTTTGGAAGGAAAAATGGAATATAATTTCCTTTCACAACCGCTGATCGATTTTCTTCTCTTCCTCCTCCCTCCCCTAAGTATGGAGGTTCCAGATAGCCCCTGCTTCCTACTCTAATATATTTCAATTTAAAAGTAATTGTGAAGATGACACCAGAACATATGAACTGGACATATCACTACAAACTCTTTGGATGGGACAATCATGCAATGCATAAATAAAGCAAAGGGAGAAAAGCTTGATTTGTTGACTTTTATTTTCCTAGCTTGCCCTGAAGCCGTGAAAGCGCAAGGGCTCTGCTGGAGGTGGGGAACAAGGTGGCAAAACCACTGTGAGGTAAGTCTGTCTTAATCCTTCTTTACAGATCTAGGACTAAGAACATAAGATGGGCCTGGCTGCTTCTGGCCAGTGGTCCTTCTGCACCCTGTTTCATGCAGTAGCCAGCTAGATGCTTCCCTGAAAGCATCCTTCCTTGAACAGGCATTCTCTGGATGTGTTGAACTGTAGCCCCCATTGTTCTGCAGCCAGGATAAGCATGTCAGGCTCCTGTCATCCCCTAGCCAGCATGGCCACCTGACTGGAACTGTAGCCTTGCATAAGCATGATGGCTGGGGATGACACAGGCTGCAGCCCAAGATCCCCGAAGGGCATACATTTGGGGGAGTGTGGCATAAAGGCAATAGGTTCCCCACCATCACCACTGCCACTGCTATTGCATGCTTACCAACATACAGTCTCTGGACACAGAAATTCCAGTTTGTTGCCATGACTAGGAGGTGTTTAAACTTTTCCGTGAATTTGCCTAACTGGGGTTGTCACCCCCTGCTGTGGCAACCGCTTTTATGAGCTAACTGTGCATTGTAAAAGAAGTATTTTCTGTGGTCTCTGCTGAATCCACTGCCTGTCACCTTCATTAGGTGAGCCCCAAATTCTAGAATGGGGAGAGAAAAGCTCTTTTTCTACTTTTCATTTATATATTTTCAATAACTGAAAAGTTGGGTTTTTTTTCCATCAAAACTGAGGGTGCTTCCAGATGAGGCTTTTCTGGCTCCACCATCCTGCCTCATTCACAGAATTTTATGAGAAGTCCATATGACGACATCTTCACCTTGTAACCCTCTTGTGTTTTTCCACTACTTCTTTGGACATTTTCTTTCCACAAAAAGTCAGTGAAGGAGTACAAGATGGAATAGCTACATAGTTTGCTCCCCCCCCACCACCCCTGCTAGGAGCTTTCTGTCTGGGAGCATCCTAAAAAAATCTTGGAATTCTTTTCTTTTGACTCCCCTCCCCTATTTTGATTATCCTTCTACTCCCCTTTTCAGCTGTGAGGTTACCTGCACAGTGTAATGCGATGAGATCATAACCGCTATGGAGTTGGGACCATGTTTTGCTGAGCATACAGTGGTTCAGGGGTGGGCAAACTGTGTTTTTAAGCCTAATTTCAGAAGCTCTCTGTAAGCAATCAGGAATTCTGGCAAAGTATCCCTTTCTCTGCAGCTTACTGAGTATGAAAGAAGCGGGACAGGAGAAAGTGAAGAAAGGAAGGAAAGGGAGTGGGCATTCCTGCTTTCAGCTCTGGCTGTACTCACCACCACATTCAGCCTCACGCACTGCCAGCATAGACCCCCAGCTTATCACCTCCAAGTCAATGCAGCCCGAGGATCCCCCACATCCATTGAATTACCTATGTAGGAAGCTGCTTGTGAGTCAGATTATCATTCTCCAATCCAGCACCCTTCAGATGTACTGCACTACAGCTTCCATCATGCACTTCCACTAAGGTGGGGTGATGGGAGTTGTGGTCCCACGCACTTGGAGAGCACCAGGTTGTGGAAGGCTGGTCTACATTAACTGCCAGCAGTTCTTCAGGGTCCCATAGAGGGGGATTTCCCACCCCTCTTTGGAAACACCACTGAGTACAGACTTCAGGAGCTGCTCTGTTCCCAGAGGGTATGCTAGCACACTTCAGATACATACCCGTAGGTAGACCATATGCTTCGGTGGGGTCCAGATGGATCACGATGCAATGTGTTGTAGCTGCTTTCCGCTAGGAAGACCCAGACATGCCTGTCCTGTTTGGAGAGTGTCACCTATTACACTGCAGCACACAAACATATTGAACTCAATGTCAAGTTGTAATGTACAGTTTTGGTGCAGTTTCTGTGCTTTTGCCCACGTCTCTGTTTCACGTTTGGTCTTTTTAAAATAATGATCCTTCAAAGAAGAGGGTCAGACTGTTCTGTTATGATTTTTCCATAGACAACATCAAACTTCCAGATTGGAATAAGAGAGCTGTTTCTGTGTTAAGGAGCATTGACTGAGAGTTCTTTCTTTTCATGCTTACCTTCCTTCCAGGATGCCTGGTACAATACTCGGAGTTGGGCCTGGAGTCTTCATCTTAGCACTGCTCTGGGTTCTCACCTTGTTGCTCTGTGTGTTGTTATCCAGAGCGGCTGGACTTGCTAGGTAAGGTGATCTCTCATGCTGGGAAATTAATTGGAGGAGGAACTGCTGACCATGTGGATTTTAGGCAAACATTAAGAGGAACTTATCGATGAGAAGATCACTTTCATAGTGGAATTGAGAGCCAGTGTAGTGTAGGGGTTAAGAGGCAATTTGGGTTCCAGTCGTGACTGTGGGCCAGAGACCTTCAGCCCTACCTCCCTCACAGGGTTGTTGTAGTGGGGTAAGATTGAGAGCAGCAGGAGGAGAATGAGGTAAGCTGCTTTGAATTCTTTGTAAGAAAAAGGCTAGGCATTAATCCAATACATAAATAATTGCTTAGATTGGTGATGGGATCTCCCTTGCTGGAGGTCTCCAAACAGAGTTTAAATAGCCATCTGTTGAGGTTGCTCCAGCTTTTCAGGACTGAGCAGGAGTTTGGACTAGATGGCTGAGAAAATCTCCTCTAACTCTGAGTCTGTGAACTCAGTTTTGCCTCCATGCTTCTCCTGTTGTGCTTCTTTTGTTTGTTTAGTCGCAAATTCATGCCCATCATGACCCCATGGACAACATTCCTCCAGGCTCTCCTGTCCTCCACCATCCCTGGGAGTCCACCCAAGTCCACACTCACTAGTGACTCCATCCAGCCACCTCATCCTCTGCCATCCCCTTCTCCTTTGCCATCAATCCCTGCTCTGCTTTGGGTGCTGGTAATCCTCCAGGTTCAGAGGGTTGGGGGAATCCCTGCTGGATTGCTCCATGAGCCACATATGGTTAATGAAGATTTCTTTATCTGGGACACAGTCCTTTAAAAAATCAAACCTCGAATCAAGCATTCAAATCATGGGTTGTGATATTATTTGGAAAACATAATAGATTCATTAAGTTCCCTGCTGTTGCTGTGGTAAAATCCTCTGAAACCAAAGTGAAAAATCGCTTCATGCTCTGCACTATTGTTATCAGACAAGACCTGGAATATAATAACTCTTTTGCCATATAATGTTTCATTTGTAAAAATGCTGCTTAATAGGACTTTTAGTGACAAAGGCCTGCCTGGTCATCTGGCCTATGTACTTCCTTCCTCTTAATAATTATGATTTAATAAATTAGGGACCCTTTACTTGTTTAATTCATTTCCTGCTATTGGCTGGATAAGTTGTCTCTGTGGGAGAATGGAAAAGCACTGCTTTTTAGCTTGGTCACAGAACACTCTGCTACTGGAAAAGGCAGCCTGGAGTTTTCAATTGCTTTGATGTTCCTTCCACCCATTTTTTTTTTCAAATGCAATGCATGATTCTTAGTAGGTGGAGTTCCGAACTATGCTGTGAGTATAGTATGAGTATGAGTATAAGTATACAGTAACTAGAACATTTGCCTTATATAAGGCACTGCAGGTCCAAACATTTAAAAGTTCAACAATTAGTTTGGCCTAGAACCCCGTTTGGATGAAATACCCATGAAACAAAGAGAGGCTGTTACGAAGTTAAAATTTACCCAGGGGACAGAGAGCTTGGAAAGGACCCCACCCCACAGAATTGGACTGGTGATCAAGCATAAAATACCTCTGTTGTAATAAAAAAGAGGGAAAAGCTGCTCCTGACCTCCTCTCATCTGCAGAGAGGTAGTCTGTGCACATAGACTCTATGCAAGTCTTCCCAAGAGCTGAAACTGCAAAAAAGAGTTCACAGAGCCAGCTTCCAGCCTAGATGTTGGGCATGTTAGGCTAAATCTCCTGATGCTGCAGCAGGAGGTAAGATACCCTTCCTGTTCTTGTTCTCACACGTATAGTACAGTGGACCTAAATTCTTGCTTAATGTGGTGGGTGGGTTGATGTGATCAGGAAGGGAAAAGGTGGAAACTTATATGGCTGCCCTTTTTGTGCTGCATAGGGAGACACAAAGGACTGCTCCCAGCATTTGGCTCATGAAAGATGATACTCCTATCCATGTTCTATTCAAAAGTTTCAAGGACGTGGTGGCTACGGTTCTAATATTACCAATGATTGCTATGTTTTTCTCTAGGTTTTCTGTCATTTTGGTTTTCTTTGCGGCTGTGATAATCACATTGGCTCTGTTGCTTTTTCCTCGTGCCAGTGAATTGCCAGAACCACCTGCTGAAATTAAGGTAAAGGTGTGGCAAATCCCCCATCTCCTCGCCCCTTCATAGTGCTTTGTACCAACCACTTCAAATCTGGGCTGTTTACAGTCTGATCCAGGCACTAAGTCCCAGCTGAACGCATCCCTAAAAGTGGTCAGCCAATGGCCTATTTGGAGGGAAAGGCAAGGGAGTTACTGGATTGAGAGAGAGCAGGATTTAGACCAGCACAGAGCATATATGTAGGATGCATTTGGGCTGAAGGCAGGCTGAGAGATTGGAGACAAACAGCTTCGAGGTCCAGTTGGCAGCCCATTGCCTGCAAGTAAAGAGGAAGACCCACTTGGTCTTTCTCAGTAGCAAGCATTCCAGTCTAAGTAAAATCAATGTTAGGCCTCGGGCCTGCCCCTCTTGTCTGTCCTGAAGATGGTTACTTGTTTTGGTCTCTGGGAGTCTCCTCCATTCTCGTAGAGGCCTATATAGTGGGCTCCATGCATGTGAAAAATGTAGGTGCAAAACTGATCTTGATATGGAGCCTTTCTCCTCTTTGATACCACACCACAACCTGTTTCGGGGGGGGGGGCTTGGGGGGGTGAATGTATGCAGGCATGCCCCTTTGTGAGGTTATGAGTTTGAAAGTTCTCCATTGCATATGAGATTCTATATGTCAGGGAAATGTGTGTGTTAACCAATCTTCTCTTGCTTTGCTTCTAACAAAGGAGAGAATAATATCTTCTCTTTGCAAGGAAGTAGTTGCAGATCAAGCACAATTACAGTACCATTATAAAGGTTATAATTACCATTAGGTGTAATGGAGATAAATTAAGGACAATCAAAATGCATTCAAGTAATATTTCATAGGTAGTACCACAGTGTTGATGCTCTTTGTGATGTACCTCTAAAGAACAACAGAATTATTCTTGGTATAATGATTCACAGCAGGGAAAAATCAATCTGGATAAGGAACAGTGTGGCTTTCTTGGTTTAGATTAACTGGTGGCTTGTTCTGCACTACACATCAGAATGTTCCACCTTTCTTTTGACCTGTCTTCATTCACCTCCTATATTTTGTTTTCTCTAGCTGGCCTATACCTACTTCTTTTTCATGCCTTTAAATATCTTTTTACACTAATAAGTCAAAGTCTAGATAACAGGAGAGTTGATCGTTCAGTGATAAAGTTTATGTCAGCCGTCCTGAGGCTTTTGCAAAAGGACGGCATATAAATATCACAAAACAACAACAACAACAACAACAACAACAACAACAACAACCTGTGCTGCATACAAAAGGTCCCAAGTTGGATCCCTGCTTCCTCCAGTAGGGATTAGATCTCAGGGGTAAAGTAGCTGCTGCCAGTTAGTGTTGCAATACCAGCCTTGAAGGACCAACGGTCTGAATCAGCATAAGGCAGAGTTCTGTGTTCCTACATGCCTCCCATGGAGAACAGGAGGACACAACCTGCAGGCCTCATGTGGTTCCTTTGTGGCCAGATTTACCCCCTATGTTGCCTCTGCCACCGAATCTCCTTTGCTGCTATTTACTGCCAGCCTGCAGTCATGCAGAACCCCCTCTGTTGTAGAGGAACAGTGCTGAACTTCCCTTCGCCCAAAGGCCAAGTTCATTTTCAGAGTGGCATGTGGGGACTGCAATCTCGTGGTGGTGAGACCAAAAGCAAAAGGAGTGAGATCAAACTATGCAGAGTACCAGCGTGGTTCAGCTGAAAATTCATGCTGTCAGTAACTAAATCTTGGAAGAATCATACCCATCTTTTAGAGTGGCGAGTGTGGGGAATGCACAAAAGCCACGGAACCACCAAACAATCAGTAGGCATTGAAACGAGGGTGGAGAAGAGGGGGAGCATCCCTGACATCTCTAGCTATAATAATGGTGATGCTGATAGTAAAGAATCAGGCATAATTATGACATTGCATTTATATTCCTCCGTTTTCTAGTTGTGAGGAACCCCAGGCAGTTTGCATGGCTCCATTTTAGCCTTAAAACAAGAATCCTGTGAGGTAGGTGAGGCTGACAGTGTGTGACTGGCGCAGAATCATTCAGTGGGCTTCACTATCAAGCATTATAACCCGGTTCTCCCAGGTCCCTAATCCCACATCCTACCTACCGGATCACACTGGCTCTGGTAGCAGGTGATGTGAAAGGACTTTCTCTTCCTGTGATCCTGGAGGACCACTTCTAGTCAGATCAGTCACTATAAGGCAGCTCCCTTGATTCAGCCATCCCCTTGGGGTCAGAGAAAGCTAATGCCAAAAGTAGGTTCTTTGTTTTGCTCAGACAGGACAGGATTTAAGCTTTTTCTTCCCCTAAAAACAAAAACAAAAAAAAAAAAACCCTGAGTGAAGCTAGTCCCCTATCCCAAGTCACATGTTTCTGAGCTGGAAAGTAAAGCCTTGGAAGGAATGTTTAGATTATTCACTGGAATAACCATATTGGGTAACTTGTAGCAGCTTCTGAAGGGAAATGCTTTTATACTGAGGTTTGTTTGCAAAGTAAATCTGTTTCTACATTGGATCATTTGTCAGGGAAATCATTTTTTCCACTGGGCTTACAGAAGATGCCTGGCTTCATGACTGTAGGTGCAAAGGCATATTGGATGGCAAATTGGAGTTTATTGTATAGGATACAGTGGTTGTGTGGCAGCTCATTAAAACACTGAGTAAACTATGTCACTGTTTGTTTAGCTTTTTCATTGTTGTGGCATACCGGCTAATTTGTAGCCCAAACAATTATATCTACAAGTCTGGATTTGGGTGATGTGGTTTCCTGCTTCCATTCTCCAGAAAGGCCCATCAATTGGAAGTCCTTTGTGCTTATAATCCTTGAAGTCTTCCTGGGACAGGCTAGGAGTTGTGGGCCTTTTTTTCTGTCTCAACTTGCATGGCATTGCTTCCGCAATCTTTTTCAGTGAGATGGAGTCATATAAGACCCAATCTGAATTAGATTTCCATAGCAATTTTCCACTTGTTGAATTTGATAGTGTTGTGGTAACTAGTAATAATGCAGATGGATTTCTAGTCTCATTTAGCAGATCTCTTCTTACGCTCACCTTAAAGATCAGTGCTTTAACATGCCTTGAGCTCTTTGTTTTGTTGCTGTTATCTAAGCAAAATGGAGCTAAAACTGTTGACTGCCATTGATGCCGAGGGGTCCTTTCTTTCTGTGACTCACAGTGCTTCCCTCTCCAGCTTGTTGTCTTGTCTGCTGTTAGCACAGCTATGTTGAAGTCACCCTCCACTGCATCTCTTTGGTGGGAAAATCATAAAAGAACCATCCCAGACTAAGCCATAGGTCCATCTGATCCCACATCCTGTATCCTGCAGTGGGCCAAACAGATACCTCTGGACTGATCCCAAGAAGCAGGGCACAGTGGCAGTAGCCCTCCGTGCTGTTCCCCAACTGGGATTTGGTGGCATGCTGCTTCTGAGCCTCCCAGCCATCATGGTTAATATCCTTTGATAGATACATGCTTCATGAATTGGTCTCATTCCTGCTTGAAATGCGGTGGCCACCACCCTAGCTTGTGGTTTTATTGCTGCTGTTTCTTTGTCTATTGAATGTTAAGCAAGCTGCCATCAGTGAGAACCTTTGCTCGTAGCTGACAGTCAGCTTTGTAACTGCCTGTTTCTGATACCCTCCAACCTTCACTCCTGCAGCTAGGTGGGGGAACTTGGTGCTCTCTCACACAGTCTACAGAAGGTCAGGCTCTTTGATCCAGACAGTTCTCAGTTCTCTCTGTGTTTCTGCTCTCTTTTAAAAAGCTGCCTTGAACCCCCAACCTTTTCTCTACAATTCCCATGTAGGGGAATGCTTCGTTGCCTTAGATTTGGTAACATGACCTGCAGCCTGTAAAGAAAAAAATACTATATAAATGGCTGGCAATAAAGATGTGAATTTTAATTGTGGTGATCACATCTTTGATCCTGGGAGCTGTTTTTTATTTCTCTTGGTGCCGACACTTGGCTGCTTATTAGACTACTTCCATCTCCTCGCCCCAGAAGCCCCTTCTCTAGGGGCAACTGTAATCCTACCCCCTTCCCTCCCAAACACACTTTCACTAACGCAGCTGCTGCCTCCAGCAGATTTCACCAATAATCAAATGTTCCTCCTCGAGGCTTTTCCCTGCTGCTAGATTAACCCTCAAAAACGATCTGAATTTCCATTACCAGCAGTCTGGCTCCCTTCAGAGGAAATACTCCTCCTTCCCAGAGGTTTCCCAGTCCTAATTATTTAAACTCCACATTCATTATGAAACCCTTTTCCTGTCCTCCTCTGGAGATAGTGAGGATGCTTTGAGCCCTCTGGCACGAGGCTCCTTCATGACTGCTTCCTCCCACGCACCCCCATGGTCGCCACACTGGAGCAGCAAGGGAAACTGCCTTGAATGTCTTAGGTCAGTTGCACCATTCTTTTGAAGAACCTCCTTGCCCAGCCTTTCAGTTTTACAACACTAATGTGCCCTTGTTGGAAGGGATTGGGATGTAATTTCTCAATGGAATGGATCTGTGGAATTATCCTTTTTAATTTATTTTTTAACCTGGAGACATGGGTTTGAGAGAGAGCATTTTCCCTATCATAACAATGGAGTGTCGTCGAGAAAAATGTAGTCTTCTCCTCAGCCAGCAGGGTTCTTGCATTTTGAGTGTGAATGATGTACCTGTTAGATGGCACTAATAAGAAGCAATGCAGCTCCACCCTCTCTTCCCTGTGATTGCACGATCTCGCGGAACGATCTTGCAAACTGGGGGCTCAGATTGGGTACTGAGTTTGAGATTTTATATTGATTATCATACGAGATTTTACCATATGAGATTTTATATTGATTATCCTCTCCTTGTGCTCTCTACACCATCAAAAACACATGCAGCAAAGCTCCCTTACACTTTTCGTGTTCAGGCACTCGATCTGCATTTCAGTCTGGAGTTGCAGGATTTACATTTAGTGGGTACATTCTCTTAAGCTGATTGTCAGAATAAGTCCTTGATGGACCTAAGGAATCGCCATTTTCTAGCCTAAGGGTAGCCACTGCTGGACTACTGGTCAAGTCCTGGTAGACCATCTCAGCTGCAATGGTAGCAGAGGTTCTCGAAAAGAATGTTGGTCTAAGGGAATCTTGGCCAAATCCAAGATTCTTATCCAAAGCTGCCTGCTTTGGGACTCTTAACACAGTTTAATTATGCCAGAACTGTTAGGAGTTTCATATTAATTCCAGTTTTTTAAGCAAACATTCTATGCATGGCAAGTAGGCCCTACAAAATTGAAGTCAGCCTATCTCTTATGCCTTCATCTCCCTAGCATATTTTTCAAAGGTTGTTACAAGCCTCAGTTATAATTCTAGGTTAAATTGATACCTGAATCACAACAATTCATAAGAAGAGATGCTATCGAATCCAAGCCCTACAGAATTAAGGGCACAATTAATTAGAGGCCAGTTGCTGTGTCCCAGGCAGCTTTTGGTTGCTGGTTCAGGTCTGGCTAAACTCTAGGACAGTCTGCTGCTGCCCACTGTCTGGTTCTGACACAAGCAAATCAGGATCCATGGAACCAGGAACAATGGATGTAGTTGAAGGAATTAATAGAATTCAGGTTTTGGAGGAGGCAGGTGAGAATTAAAGGATCAGCAGCAGATAGCGCAGTCACAGACAGGCTGGTGGCTATATGTAGCATAACATGGCTGGGACCCATTCCTTCCAGGAACTGAGAGTGGCTTCATGCTGAAGGTTCAGAAGGTAATGAGTCTATGCTGGTGCTAAAGGCAATTGCTGAGGTGCTCAGGATGAGTTCAAGGGAACCGTTCGTGTTCATTTGGATATAAAAAAGAGTGAAGGGCACTGACCAAGGAATCTGTCAAAAGGCAAGATGAGGATAAAATGAAGTGCACGATGCACATATGGATGGAGGAACCGAGCTGGTGCAAGGAGGGGCAGTGAAGAATAGCAAGTCCAGGAAATAAGGCTGCAGGGCTAGAAGAGCAGACCAGATAATACCTTCTTCTGGTGAAGGTCTATAGCACAAAGGGGGACTCTCTGGTCCACGAGCTGAATGCAGCCCCCGCGAGCTCCCCATCCAGTGCTCAAGCTTCTTCTGCTCAACATTCCACTTTTGGGACAGTGCAGTGCCAAGCCCCAAATCAGTGCTAGTCCAAGCCTGGTGTTAAGGCAGAACAGAGGAACTAGCTCTAATCGGCTATGGCAAGACTCCCGTTCAAGTCCTTACATCCCTAATAGAATCATAGCCCGTTTCCATTCCACCGTCTGCCCTACATGTATACCAGTGTTGCTTTACTCCGTGTTGCAAGTATAGTTCAGGAGAACGGGTACAAACAGGGCTGCAAGGTGCAGTGACTGTATGAGAGACATGCCTGTATAACAAAACAGTTCATTTGGAGGATCTCTAGGACTCTTTCTCTCTTAGCCATAGCCCAGCACAATATGGTATCAATAATACATGTCCTGAGCTTTCAGCACCCAAAGCCAACTAATTGGCTAATTAAAAAGTGAAGCGTGTTGAACGAGCAAACATGTCACCCACAGGAGACTTGTTCTGTAGCGGAGGCAAGGTCAAGCTTGTGTTAATGCTGTTTCATGAAACTCACCTTTACTGTAAGCAGAGTATGTTGAACAGTCCCAAGAGCTGGGAAGGTGCTTTTTTCCCTTCCTTTTGGAAGCTGTGTCTTCTTGTTGGGGTGGGGGCAGAGGCAGTACCTGCCAACCACACTCTTCTCCTGTTTGTGTAAGGCTGCTCAGAGCCTTTTTCTTTGTATCCGGATGGAAGCTTTAGCACTGCTTCTCCCCTCACGTTCCAGCATGTGCATTTGCAGGATCGACAGCCACCATAACTATCGGAGTTTAATGTTAACCACGTGGACAGAGTGCAACTGCGGGGCAGCTAGAGCAGAAACCAGCCAGTATGGATACCAGACCCAAGGCTTTGTGCAAATGTCAAACCTTAATGAGCATGGAAGGAAAACTCAAGAAATACTTAATTGTGCATTTATTAATTCTGGGAGCCTTTGCTGTAAACACGAACTGGGGATATCCCTGCATGAGAATAAATTTGATATGGGCTGCTGTTTATCCCATTTAGTGGGATAAGTCATCAAACTGGAACCTGAAACAGTAATCCTATCAATTCACTTTGGAAACGTCCTCAGTTTCTTTGTGTGTTTTGAGTTATTGCTTGATTTCACCATGAGATACTGGATATGGCCAACATATTTTGACAGCTGCTGTTTGTAAAGCAGATACATAACGTGTAGCCAGAGAGTCTGCAGAACTACCATCCAGTACTCTGGCTCTTCCCTAATCAGCTTGGAACATTTCTGTGGCCTTAAGAAGGCTGTGATTGAATGGGTCCTGTCTTTTTCTATGTTTCTGTCCAGTTGTTTCACACATCAACCCTAATGTCTCTGAAATTGCCAAGGACCATCACAATCTCGTCTGAAGTTGGGGCTGACAGGGGGATAGTCATTCTGATAGTGAATGATTAGGGAAGTTGCTTGTGGCTTGCTGTGGAAAAAAGGGCGGATTCCATGTTGGGGATCATTAGAAAAGAACTTGAAGATAACACTGCTAGTATCATAAGGCCTTTATACGAATCTGTGGTGCAATGTCATCTGAAATACTGCACTTCAAAAATGAAAGCGTAAAAAAGATGTGGAAAGGAAGAAAAACTACCCTCTTTGGGGGCTTTCAGTTGAAGCAAAAAGGTAATTAAGTGGGAAGGGGATCATGACACGGGTATATGAAATGACACATGCTTTGCCTAAAGTGAAAAGGGAGATTCTGCCCCCACCCTGCATAATATTAGAATTTCTGGTCATCCCAAATTGGTAGGGGAGATTCAGGGTATTTAAAGCAAGGACTTTTCCCACACAGTGCGTAGTTAAACTGAGCTTCACTACTGCAAGATGTGACGACGATCATCAACCTAAAAAGCTTTAAGAGGAGATTAAACAAATTCATGGAGCATGAGGCTATGGATTTTTACAAATTAGTACTATATACTACTTCCAGTGTCAGAGGTAATACGCCCTGAACATCACTTAGTGGGGAACATGAGTGGGAGGGTGCTGTTATGCAGATGTCCTATGTGTGGGTTTCCTAGAGGCATCTGTTTGGCCATTGTGGAAATGCTAGATAAAATCGGCTCCTTGGTCTGATCTATCAGGTCTCCTCTTTTGCTCACGTAGTTTCTTTCATATATTTCTATATTGCCCTTCAGCCAAATGGCTCCTGTTGCTAGTCATGAAATCACGTTTGACCATCGTGACACCATGGACAACATTCCTCCAGGCCTTCCTGTCCTCCACCATCCCCCAAAGTCCACTTTAGCTCACACCAACTGCTTCAGAGACTCCATCCAGCCACCTCCTCCTCTGCCATCCCCTTCTTCTTTTGCCTTCAGTTGTTCCCAGCATTAGAGTCTTCTCCAGTGAGTCCTTCCTTTGCATTAGGTATTTGAGTTTCATCTTCACTATCTGGTCTTCTAAAGAGCAGTCAGGGTTGATCTCCCCTAGGACTGACCGGTTTGATTGCCTTGCGGTCCAAGGGACTCGCAGAAGTCTCCTCCAGCACCACAATTCAAAGGCCTCAATGCTTTTGCGCTCAGCCTTCCTTATGGTCCAGCTTTCACAGCCATACATTGCAACTGGGAAAGCCATAGCCTTGACTATACACACTTTTCATGTCTCTGCATTTTATGCTTTTTAAATGGCTCCTAGGACAGTCCATAAAAATACAAACAAAATTAGTGAAGTAGATTACAGCAAAACAAATCAGTCAGGTTAAAATGAAGAATAAAACAGTAGTCAGAGTGCAGGCACAGAGATGTAAGACCCCCTGGGTGAAAAAGCCAGCTTTTCACTGGCACCAAAAAGCTAAGTATGGGTGCCATGTAAGCCTACCTGGGATGGAGTTCTGTAAGTGAAGGGCACCAACCGAAAGGCCCTTTCTCTAGTTACTGCCTGTCTCACTATCAGATGTCAGGGACATCTGGAGGACAGCTGCTGTCAAAGGCTTTGCATGGCAGGTGGATATGGAAGCAAGCATTCCTTCAAGCCCCTTCTCAATGCTTGGCCACTACATCTGCTACCAGAGTGATGTTCTGCTCTATGTGTAACTTGTGAACTTTATGTTCTCTTCAGATTGTGGACACCTTCTTCATCGGCCGTTTTGTCGTGCTCTCTTTTTTGAGTGTGACTTTTCTAGGATGCCTCTTCATGCTTTTGATTCACCACGTCCTGCAACCTGTGTATGCCAAGCCAGTGAGAGTTGCCTCATAAGAGCATAGATGGTCCATCTTTGGTGCTGCTTTGGCCTGGAGAAAAGACTTCTGCAACAAGTACTAGAAAAGTAAATTGTTTTAACCAAAAATGTCTTGTTACAGATTTTTACAGAATAAAATTTATTTTGTTATCCCTATCATGTTATAAGATATCCTGAACATTTCAGCACACATAGGTTTTAAATTCAGCTTAATAAGTACCATTGAATATGGTGTCAGTTATTAGTCTGCTTTTCATATTATGGTTTCCCCTTCAGTTCACCTCCCTTGCACAGCATGTTTATAAGAAGATGAATTTGCAGAGCAATACAGGTACAGTGTATTGGTTCTAGTGCCATGTTACCACTAGAGTTGGTAGTTGCCCATTAGCCAGGAAGGTTGATTAAGTAAATAGCAGTTTTCACACACTAAATACTGACTTGATTCACAACCAGTTTCTGTTCCCTTCTCTGCTCTGTACAAAGAAACCTAGCCTGTGTATTTCTTTGTAGTGCCTTCTGTATTTAGTGGGTTTAATTTAATGGATCCCCAAGGGCTTATTTTTGTCTCCCTGCTCCTTCCTGACACAGGTGAGAGATGCTAATGAGTCCCTCTGAGAAGTCACTTGGCTGAATTGTTCCAGAAGAAAAAACTGGAAGCAGATCATTTTTCTTAGTCACCAGATACTTTTTGTCCACTTCTAAAGAGTTGAGGGAATGCATCCCGTATCTGTTTTAATGTTTTCTCTCTGAATCTCTCATTGTTTTTTCCAGACCTGACACTTGCTTCTGCATATATACATGCACCTATGCATGCGCAAGAAAAAATGTATCTGAATGGGTGAAACTAAGATTTCATCTGTCCATAAATTTATGAAGTTTGAAGTTCTAAACTGGATTCTAGCTTTCATAGGTCATGCCATGATTCCTTGCATGCACCTTTTTATCCCATTCATAACGGGATTGTAATTAGTCCCCATGGATGACACACCCAGAACTTTTAGGCAAAGTCCTGGAGGGCCACAAGTTGCCTATTACTGCCCTACTATACAAATAATATGACTTGCTTGGCAAGCTCTCATTTCTTTAGACATGTAAAACACATACCGTTGATTTGTGTATCTGATGGTTTTCAATCATTGGCAGAGAAACCACAGAGAGTACTAAAATCCCACCCTGGTCTGTGTGATTTTTCCATCCAGTCCTGTGCAGAGCTAGGTGTGGATAAACCTATTGAAATCAATCAGCTGAGGTATGCTTTAAATGCATGAAATGTTCTCATGACTGGCAACATAGACATATTGAGTAGCAACTTGCTTTTAACAGCAGAACAGAAGCTCAACCTTCTCCAGAATGTGAAAACCATATTAAGTACAAAATTTGGCACGTGCCTGGTGGCATTGCCAAAGTGGGGGATACACAGAGTCCTAAAGATGCTCAGTGTTGGATCTGATAATGAATAGGGGTCTGGAAATCGCTTCAGTTGTCTTACACCAGAATCCACTCTATTACTGTCAGTGAATGCCATTCTCTGCCATTTTTGCTTTGCATATTTTTTTAGGATGGGGTGTCCAAAAAGCAGATCTTATTCCAGCCTTCTACGTAGGTTTTTGGGGTCAGTGATTCTGTAACTTCTGAGTATTAAATATACTTTTTGCTTTGAGTTATCCTCTTAGTTCTTGTTCATTCATAATCCGCAGGCAATTCTAATTTCCCCTGGACTGAGATATCCCATTTTGCTGGCACTAGCTGTAGAATAATTTTCATTTGGCCTAAAAAATTAAACTTGAAATGGAAGAACAGCCCCCTTTTCTCCTAGCGAAAGAGGTATGTGAGATGGCAAAGGGCTTTTTCTAACAAGATTGTAGATACATTTTCTAACTTCATTAAAGGTACTTGCCCTGGGAGTGAATAAAACCCCTCACAGAATAATTCTAAAATAGCTGAACCTCTTTTTAACAAGAGGAATAAGTAGGAAAGTAATTGGCCAGCTAAGGAATACTTAAAAACCCAGCAAATAGAAGGGAAAGCTTCCTAAAATAGATTGTCAGTGTTTCCATATCACATATTAATTGGCAACAGCCCATTTGGAAAGCCATAAAAACCTGGGGAGGTGGCAAGAAATTGCAAATACAAAGTTGCCAGTTCTCCTGATTTCATTTTTTAGAAAAGTCTCTCAGACAGAAATCAGAATACTCATGATGATAGAGTAATAAGGGTATAATTTCATTATTACAAAGCAAAGTTTGAAAAGTGTGAATTTGGCTCAAAGTCCAAATATTCAAAGTAGCGAATAACCCATTTTACATAAAAAATGCAGCTGTCACAATTCAGCACCAGGTTACATATTTATGGACAGCTTTGCATCTAAGTATTTCTGATGATTTAGGCACACTTAATGAGCTTATGCATGTCTAATTCAGCAGGTCCTTGACCATTGGTGTAGGAAATTTACTGCCACAAGGAATAATAATGACTCCTAGCACATATAATTCTTTGCTGATAAAATAGAGGAATCACAGGTTCCCTGTTTTGATGGAAGGAGCTTCCTCTGATAGGAGTCCATTGGAGAATAATCTTCATATCCAACCCAGTTTATGCTAACTTGGATGAATGGAAAATATAAATGTGGCAAATTAAAGGGAAACTGGATAAAAGGGCAGAGATTGTTAGCTAGTATGGAAATAAAGCTGGACATTCTGACACGATGTATTCTCTACCCAGCTGTTGATGCTGCTCCATAAAGTTTGCTCAAGCTTCCAAGCTAGGTGACTTGGCTGGCAAGCTGCCATTTCAAATTTCACACAGTGACCTGGAGCAATGCTGCATCGAGTGCATGATGAGGAGCTGAAATGGCAACATGCCAACCAAGCCACTTCTGCCAGACAAGCCACGGGTAGGGTGACTGTGTGTCCTACTTTACAGAGAAGGGTACTCTTTTTGGAGGTCTGTCAGGCCCCCTCTGAAGGGCTGCCGGTCCAAATCTAGTTTCAAGTGCAAGAACCGTTTGAAGGAAAAGTGGGGGGCTTGGGGTTTCCCATCAACAGTAGCTGGACAGCTGGTGGAGCAGGCACAGAGATCATTAAGCACAGTTTTCTACATTATGATGAAATGTATTGTCCTTTTATTTCCATTACAGTAAGTTCTAAGTTTAGCACATGTAATTTTATTGCAAATTTGTGCTCTCTTCTGCCCCTGCCTTTTGTTTTGTTTTGTTTTGTTTTGTTTTGTTTTGTTTTTGTGATGGGGAAGTTGGCCCACTAGTTAGACTCACACTGATATTGGAGGGGGCCTTGCCAAGGACACTTCAGTGAGAGCCTCCTCGTGTCTGAAAAAAGACATACCCAGGGGTGGGATAGACCAGGAATGGACCTTTCTGACAGAGAGCCACATCCTTCTGGTCTGAGAAAGACTTCAAAACCCACCATCCCATGTTCTCTTGCTTTTTAAAGTCGTCCAGCTGTTCCTAAGTTTAATAAAGTGCATCCTACGTATTAACTTCCAAGCCTGAGTGTTGGCTCCCTTCCTCCCTCTCCATTTGTGGGACTTGTGTGTAAGTCTTGTTCAGGCCCAGAGAGACTTAATTAAATGTGTTAATTCTGCAGCCTCCTGCTGTAATTTGTCAAGTATTTTCTGTTTTAAGTCTCACAACCCTAAGGTCAGAGACGGAGCGACCCGGGAGACCAAAATGCTCCACTGCTTGATTTCCGTATCTTTCTACCTTAACACTGGATTTGTTTGTCTTTTATTTTCTCACACAAGGATTGGCCCACTTAGCCAACACAGGTACACCAGTGGGCATTTCTGGTAATGACATTTTCAAGCATACCAGGGGGAAAAGAGCACGAGTTACAATTGAGGAGTGGGCAAGTTACGGGTTTCCAGATGTAATTGGGCTGCAACTCTCCTCATCCCTGTGCACTGGCTATGCTGGCTGGAACTGATGGGACTCCAAGTCCAGCAACCTCTGGGCTCCTCACCCCAGCCAGAGCTGGTGTTGTTAGGTCTGTTACAGTGTTAAAATTACATAATGATCAATGCTGGAGCAGTTATCTTACCGAGCTAGATCAAACAAGTGTCAGACCACTAGCTACTGTTTTTAGAAGGCTACCATGATGTGGTGGTAAGGAAACAGTTTAATTAACTTAGTGGTGGGTTGGGGGCTTAGACTGAGGGTCCCCCTGAATGCATCCACCTCAGCTGGTGTACTTGTCTCATAGCACTCATGGGAGATACAGCAATGATGGCTGCTGGCCATGGTAGCTGTGGGAAGTCTTCTGGAATCCCCGCTCAACTCAGGATCTGAGACAATGAGTCCCTGGATGGTAGCTGCTAAGGAGGGTCGTGGGAGAGAGCGGCCACCTCTCTCCCTGTGGGCTTCCCATGGGTACCTGGTCGGCCATTGTGGGAACCAGGTTGCTGTACCGGGTAGGCCTTTGGTCACATCGAGCAGGGTTCTTAGACGGAAGATAGAAGCATTTGGTTGCTGATATGCATCTCCCTGGGAGACTGTGTGGCATCTGATTTTATTCTAATTGCCGAGTGAGAAGGAGGAAGTTAGCACAGGTCCCAGTTGCCTTGAGGGCTCAACCAGGTTGGGCCAGACTCGCTGGCTGGGGAATTTTTGTTATTTATTTCATTTCTTATTGCATTCATATCCTGTCTTTTTCAATCTTGCAAGGAGCCCAGAGTAGGCTACAGGGTCCTCTTCCTTCTCTCCATTTTATTCTCATAACAACCCTGTGAGGTAGATTAGGATGAAAATCACTGACTGGCCCAAAGGCACCCAGTGAGCTTCATGGCCAAGCCAGGATTAGAACTTGGACCTGTGGAGTCCTAGTCCAAACTTCTCACTGTCACTGGAGAAGAAAGGCAGCAAGCCAGGTCCTGTCCCCCCAAATGGTTGAGAATAAATCTAGCGATGGTTCATTAGGCCTTCACAGAAGGTGCCCCTTCTCAGTTGAGCCCACTTGAAGGGGAAACAGTATGCAAGGACAAGAAGGGTCGAGGTCCTCCCCTCTTACCCATGGTCTATCTGAGCCGTTTGTCTAGCCTGGAAGAATAAGAGGAGAGATGCTGTGCAGGATGGCCGCTTACGCACTGCCAAAAAAGAAGGAAGTGCATCACACACACAGAGGCTTGCAGAGTTTTGCAAACATTTGCCTGTGCTAATTTTTATGTATTTAAGTAAATTTCTGAATAATTACTATAATTTCAGTAGAAACACAAACTAAGCACAGTGAGGAAGGTTTTGACTAGCTGTCCTCTGTTTCCTACTATGTTTGCTGTCCAGGTACTAACTCTGGATGGGCATTCACAAGGCCTCTGCTGGACTTCCTTCTTCTACCATTTATCATGAAACCCTACTTCAGCTGGACTCAAGGAGTGCCCTTTGCCGTCCAAAGGACAGGCCACAAGCATAAAATAATCTTTATGGCGCATGTGTGCTCCTTCCCACTTTCACTTTACTTCGTTCGTGTGGGTTCTAGGAGCACGGGCAGGGGACATGGCCAAAGAAGGCTGGACAGGTGCATGCAGGGCATCTGTCAGTGGGCTGCACGCCATTCAAGGGCTGCCAGTTCCCAACCTCTAATTATCTTAGAAGGAAACAATCCTGTTTTCTTTTGATGCCCTATTGTCCCATTCTTTTCACACAAAAACCAATTCCCCCCACTTTTTAAGAAAGGGGTGGGGTGGGCAAAATTCCAAGCATCTGGGAGGTCTGCAAGAAATGGGAAAAAAGCCACTTTAGAAACGGGACCACTCCTCTGTTATTCTTACTTTGGCTCCATCTAGTGACTTATCCAAGGGGAAATACAGAAAGAGGCATACATACAGGACGGCATTCTGTTTTCCAGGTAGTTCAGCCTTTATATCGCAATGCCACTCACTGCTTGTTCTCACTGTATTTCTTTTACACGCCCACCCTGTATATCACGCGGATGTTTGGAGCGACATGAAATGAATGCACAGGCAGGACAGGTTGGCTTTGTGAGGAGACTAGCAGACACCATTCAGTTCTAAAGTAAACACAGTAAAAGACACCAAGAGCCTCTTAATTCAGGGGTGAGGCAGACTTTCAGGAGTTCCCATGTTGGTTTTACTAAAACTGAGAGATTCGTGACCCAGATCTGGTGCCAAAGTCATACATGTATAATGAAGGATCCTGAGATCAGGAATTTCAAGTACTAGAGCCAGTCAGAACTTTCCACACAAAAATCCTTACCTGGTTATTCCACCCTTTCTTCATTTCAACATAAATATTGTGGCCAACTGGGAGTCATTTTATTGCTGTTATTGTTAAACAACTGGGAGTCTCAGATCTTTGATAATCTACTGCAAATTAACGTGTTGATGTAGAACTTCCATCTGGCCACCCCTGCTGTAACCTAGGTTAGATGTGAAGAATTCAGCCCTTTCTGTGACAGTCCAGAACAAAATGCACACCCATGTAACTTCTGCTTTGATTCTGCTGAAGCACTCCATTTCCTTTGAAAAAAACTGAGAGGAGGGATCTTTGAAAACGAACATATTCTGGACTCCCCCCACCAAAAAAAGATAATTTTCTAAAGATAATAATTTTCTGTAAATACATTTCAAACTTAGGTTGTATTCCCCAACCCATCTCCTTCCACAACTGAGATTAACTTCGTGGCTGAGAATACAGACTAGATTTCTACTCTGTGAAACATGTTCATTGTGTTGCTTACTCCCAAGTAAATTCCATGGACTTTCTCCCAAGTAAGTGCATATAGAACCACTGCCTAAATGGTTGAACATAATGGTTTCATTGTGAATGAAATGAGCAAATGAATGTAATCGTTTCGTTTTGATTAAAAATTGCCTGGAGTGTAGCAAAAAGGGATACGTTACCTGTAGTAATGGCTGACACCATTAGGTGCTAGATGAATTCATGTAGGATAGGCCTCATAATGGCCATACCCCCTTTCCCCAACCACCAGTCATTTGGTAGATTCCCAGCATTTGTGTCATCCGCCCCCCCCTCCAATTCTAAAGGTTGAAATGCCTTTTCAAAGGCTGACTTACTGGCAGTAAGGTTGCAGTTACAGTACTCTGATATTTGGGGTATTTGGGCCCTTCCATCTTTTGTCCTTGGCCCCACTCACCACTGCAGTGCAGCCCCTGAGAACGTCTCCAAAATGGAATTGGCCCTCACAATGAACTAGGTCTTGCATCCCTGCTTTAGCAGCTCTGTGACAGGCAGAAACCCAGTGGATTTTCCCCCATTTCTTTCCCTCTTGCTGAGTCAAGCTTTGCCTGCTGAATTTCCATCGGTTATCCTACTGGCAGTGCCACAGGAACCAGAGCGTAAAGAAAGTATCGTGGCTTTTCTTATATCCTGCAGGCAGGAGCACCAAATCTGCTGCTCTGGGAGGGAAGGGGCCCGTTCCAACCACAGGAGCAGACACACCTGCAGAGCCAGACTTTTCACTGGCAGCCCTCACTGCACCCTGCCTTGCTTCAAAGAATGGGCCCTTCTATTTTCAGCATAAACCTTGAGCTTCATAAGTAAGGGGGGTAAGTGGGTGGGCAGGATTAACATGTGCCGGAAACCCTGGCTGCAAAGCAGCACACGGGCCAGCTGAGGATTAGCAGCCCAGCACAAAGAGCCTGAAGTCATTAGTGCTAACGTCTGCCAGGCCTTAGTCATGCCCTACAAGGTGTTAATCTACTCGGGACCTTTTCTTCCATTAAACATGGCTCTGCTACAGGACTCGCCTGATCGGCGGTTCTCGGGCTGCCCTCCAGAAGGAACTGGGCCTGCTCAGGCACCGTCAGGGATGTCAAGCCAGCCGATCTGACCAGCAGCAGCAGGAGGAAATGGGGCGTTGGCCCATGGCTCCCTCTTTTAAGGCCTGAGGACCCTGCAGCAGGGCAATCACACTTCCCTATTGTGGCATGTGAGCCTCCTTGTCCTGTCTTGCTTTGCTTTTGCTCCCAAGCAGTTACGGCGTCTTGCAAACACTGCATCTGCTGTTCCTTTCCTCCCAAGTTTTCCTGAGCAAACATGTGTTTCCTGAATCTGTTGTTCCAGTATTTCAGTGCAGGGGTCACGAGATGTGTGCTGGCACAGAGGCAGGCATGCTGCCCAGAGCCCTGCAACCCATGAGGGTCCCACTGTCCTTGAAGCTGCCGCTCACCATTGCAACTTGGCTTTCATTCTAGCCCAGACAACGGTGGCAGTGAGGAGCAGGAGCAGCAGATGCTGCCACCGCTTGGGCATTTGATGGCTCTCTCTCAAGCACGCATGGCTGTGTGTCCTCCATTGAAGAAAATTGTCCTCTGTTCGAAAGCTTCCTCTGCATCTTGTTTAAAGACAAAATCCCCTAAGAAAGGAGAGTGGCAGAAACTGGAACGCGCCCATCAGAAGTTAACACCATGACAGCAGACTGACCAGACACATGGGTGATTTAGTCACGGTCTTCCCCTTGGACATGTATGCATGGCAGCCTAGCCTGAGAGTAAGTGGCACCTGTCAAAGTATCGGGCTTACCATGGATTGTTCTCCTCTTCCTTTCCCTTTCTTGCAACCAATATCCTGGAGTCCTGCACAGAGAACTCATCGTATCTTTTCCTCCTATTCCTATGCAACAAGCATTACATAATAACTGTGGGCATTGGCCAAGCAAGGCTGTGCATAGTTTGATAGTGCACACATGACAACTGTTAAGTGGTGAGTTGTCGATTGAAAAGCAAAATGGCTATTTGAGTTGACGTCCAAAAGGGCCGGAGAGGCTCTCTCTCCTTTAGCTCTGTGATCCTCCAGTTCTTAAGAATTATCCTGGTACTTTGCAGTGCCTCCACCTTTTCCACATTTCCCTGAACCTCAAGGTACTTCAGAAAGGAGAGCTCTAAATCTCACCTACTTTTTATTAACAGTTGCTTTTGACAGATTTCAAAAGAAAGGATTCTTTAAAAACATCTATCTGGCAGGGGTGGGAATATATTGCCATAAAATATGTGTGTATTGCTTTGTCCTCCTGCAAAATGCTAAGAAAATGCTTTGGGGGCAGGATCTTCATCTTTAACAACAACACAGTAAGCAGATTCAACATGGTTGTCCCAATGCTGGGATTAACAATATCTACTGAATTTTGCCCATGCAGATGAGTGAGAATTTCATTTGTTTAATTTTTTATAAGAATTTAACAAAATCTACTATTTTTTCATCCCTAGAATAGAAATAACATGTAAGTTTTAAAAAGTGAATGTAGGCAAAAACAAAACTGATAGATTTGTCCATTCTTAATTCTGGGTATTCTGAGTTAAGCGATGTGATGACTTTTTGTCATCTGTATTGGTACCCTATTTCAGGAGCACCCTCCTTAAAAACACTGACGTGGCACCAAGCTTTTTGTGTTTTAAGTCCAAAAATTAAAAAGATTTTATTCTCTTAAGTTTTTGATGGCCGATTCATTTTCTGCTGAATCCCTTTTATTTTTGTCTTGCAAGATGTTTTTAAAAGTTTTGGCTGGTCTCTTTGATCTTCATGTTTCATTGTTTTAACATTTTCAAGTCACCTTGAATCCCTACTCCTTCTAGTAGAAAAGTTGGGAAAAACCCACTTGAAGAGAAAGATAAAATAAAGGGGTTGAGGAGCTTTAAGATGGGACGGGATTTGCTCAGGCTTATATATGGTCAGGAACAGAAGCCAAGAATTCCTGTGTGAATGGACCCAAAGTTCCTGTCCATCCAGGAAATCCCATAGATAACCAATGGATGCATGAGCTGATAAGGGCATGAAAGGAAGAAAGCAGAAACAAAATTGCAAAGCTGTAAGATGCCAACTGGGCAGGGAAGGAAATGCAAGAAGGGGCAAGGTCATGCGACAAAGGAACTAAACAACCCCACTCAGAAGGATATAAGCAGCTGCCAGCCACTGAGAATGGCATGCTTCCGTTTACCTGGCAAACTTAATCTGCAAAGATTTTAATTAAAGATTTTAAGAAATTGGTTTTATGCAAATGACAATGTAGAGGCTTCTGTTCCCCTTTGCTTTGAAGAGGGATGCAAAATTCCTGGGAGAAGGAAGCCTGCAGGGGGGCGGGGGCTGTCCTTGATGCAGTCAACATTAATGATTTTATCATGAGACTCCTGATATTTGACTTTATTTTTAACCTGCCCTCCTCCAGTTGGGAAAAATGATTGGATTAGACATTCAACTCCCCCACTTTGTTTTCTCCATTACCCCTTTTAAAAAAAGGGGGGGGATTTAAAGCAATTTTTTCATGAAGCGACTTAGCTAAAAGTGTGAAACAATAATGAAACATAAAGCATATGAAAGGGAGTTGGTTGGGGGTAGCTTTCAAACTAGTAGTAACCTTTCTACTGGGCTGGGTGGGAGGTGGAACAGCTGGCCTGGTTGCCTGTGCATTTGTTCCTAGAAGAAATTACCCAGACATCTCAGATATTTGCCATTTTCTGTGCACCATGCAAGGTTGGGGTTTTACAGCATTAAGCAAGTTGGCATATCTCCATTATGAACTAGACTGAAGCTCGTTTAAGGGATCAGAGCCTTATCCTGGTTCTGGAGCTCGTGGTAGCTGGACACAACTTTGTTCCCCATCTATGGGAGGAGATTGGATTAAGAGAGAGTTTAAGAGATTGGCTGACCAGTCTGTTTGATATTTTTAATGTATAAAATTCATAAATATCGTTAGCTGAATAAAACAAACCAAAATGGGCAGAATAATAATATCATAGGAATTCAAGTTTAATACTGCAATGGCAGCAGTAATTGTTACCTCTTTTTTGTGATGTTGTTGTTGTTAGTCGTGAAGTCGTGTCCGACCCATTGCGACCCCATGGACAACATTCCTCCAAGCCTTCCTGTCCTCCACCATCCCTGGGAGTCCACTTAAACTCACACCAACTGCTTCAGTGACTCCATCCAGCCACCTCATCCTCTGCCATCCCCTTCTTCTTTTGCCATCTATTGTTCCCAGCATCAGGCTCTTCTCCAGGGAGTCCTTCCTTCTCTTTAGGTGGCCAAAGTATTTGAGTTTCATCTCCAGCATCTGGCCTTCTAAAGAGCAGTCTGGGTTGATCTCCTCTAGGACTGACCGGTTTGATTGCCTTGCGTTCCAAGGGACTCGCAGGAGTCTCCTCCAGCACCACAATTCAAAGG